CCCCAAAACCCCAAAACCCCAAAACCCCAAAACCCCAAAACCCCAAAACCCCGACCTTTTTAAAGGTTATTGAAATCATTTATTCGGTAGAATAATTAGAGAACCTGTTCAGTAACTTGTCGGGATAGACCACTGAACTGTTCTTAAATCTGGAGATCTCAGTTATGTCAACCACTCTTCTCTTTGCTCTCTTGTATGCTTCTTTATTAGCTTCATACTGTGTGGTGTTGTCTTCCTTGTGTTGAGAGGCGATCAGTTCAATGTGTGCAACTCTTGGTCCACTTCCTTCTGGCCCATAGAACAGATGGTTGAAGTGATCAACAACCTTCTTTTTAGATTCAGTGTAGAACTCTTCGTTAGACTTGTCCATCATCTTCTCTAAATATTCAATTTGCTTTTCTTTGTAGTCAAAATCGTAGGAGTGCTTCTCAACACGAGTGAAGAGTCTTATTGATTCCTTGAGTAGACTATGGTCAACTTCTTTCTTGTCCATGATGACAGCCTTTACAGCTGTTTCGAAGTCTTCATCAGACAGAGAAGCCAGCTTCTCTTTATACATTTCAAGGAAATCGTTGGACTTTTTGATCAGATATTCAGGGTTCTTGACAGCAGATTGGATGATGAAGCCTCCACCGATCATTTCTCTATAAATCAGAGATCTAGCGTATGCAATGTAGCCAAGCTGTTCCTTTGTTCTGAGATAATCGAAGGATGGGTTGTCTAAGATCTGGAATACAACAGAGTGAATCATATGATGAGCAAATTCCTCTTCTACTGTATCGAATCTAGTCTCATCTTGGTAGATAGAGAGAATAGCCGAGTTAGTTTCGTCCTTGTTCTCTGCATCTATTACAATATTAGTCTCTGAGTTTTCATCCATCATCAGAGGTCTCGTGAAGACTAGCAGATCCTTTGGAATTGTCTTGAAAGCAAGCGTCTCAGTTGCTTTTTGGGCAGTGCTAACTGCCTGGTCCTTGGTGAGATCTCCGTTGAAGAACCAGACAGATCTTGCATTGGTCAAAAATTCTTCACTGAGGGAACAGAATTTCTCAAAAGTGAAGTCTTTTAAATGTTCAAGTTTTTCCTTTGGAGGGAATTGTCCAAGGAACATTACTGATCTTGCAAGTCCGAAGACTTGAGAGTATGGTTGAACAAGTGCAAAGTTAGCCCATTGCTTTAAAAGCTCCTCCTTTTTAGAGTCAAAGGTTTGCTTATTCTTTCTAGCATCGAAAGATTTGAGTTTATCGAAGAACTTCTCTACAAATTCTTGCATTGGGTCACTATATCCTCTGAAGTCTATCCTGATAGATCCTTCACTTTCGCTGGTTTGGCATTCTAGAGAGGCCATGTCTGCCATGTAGAGGAACTCTCTGAAGTAATCCTGTATCACTTTCAGCCAGATAGTCGAGAAAACAGCTCCTTGGAGTGAGGTCTGGAACCCACAGTCATTGGTATATAACAGATTGAAGGCATTGATCTTTGGTGTCTTGAACTTTTCGCTCTTCTTGTACCAAATATCAATGTTCTCATCAGAGACATTTTGTACGGTTAATTCAGTAGAATCCTTGCTTTCCTCTCACAGATCCAAACTTTTGGGGAATAAAGTATTCTCAATTGGGTTACTCAGTTTTGAATTTTCGAGGGGATCTGCTGTTGGGTTCTTGAGTCTCTGAAGTAAATCCTCTGAAAACTTTTCTTTAACAAACTCAGTTCCATACCACTCTTCAACATTGTATGGTGTGTCTACTATAGTGTCCACCTTTTTGGAGGATAAATAGACATTCATATTATCTGGAAGAAGACCATTCAAGATATTTTGGTATTCTTCCTTGTTGAAATTCGCAAAGGTGTATCTAGTCTGCAAGATATCTTGAATATTTTCATCTGTGAAGAGATGCATTCTGTCTGCCATGGACACTGTAGTGTTAATTGGAGATGACTTATCCAAAAACTTCCATTTTAAGTCACCATTCTTGGAGCATTCTTCGAATACGTGGTCGATTGGACCTTCTGAAGCAAGAACTTGGCACATTTTCGTCACGATCTCTATGACTCTTTCATAGTTTTCGAATCCTTTATCAGTGAGAGTGAGGTTTAGGCACATGTACGTAAATGAGCTGATCTCATGGTCGCAATATGCATAACATGAAGTAGCAAGATCATCTTCAATCAAGTAAGATAGTAGAGAGTTTTCTCCTTCATGCCCAATTACATGAGACAAGAGATTAAAAACTCTATCATAATGATCTTTGTTGTAACATTTAGGGTAGAACCAGAGGAACTTCAGCTGATGTTCATCCATTACAGGCTTGATCTTATACAGTTTACCAAGGAATTCCTTAGGATATCCAGCAGGCTCAGCAAAAGATGGGACGGTAACATTCTTGTTCTCAACTCCTGAGAAAAGCTCAGTCACTAGAGTCTCCATTTCCTCAATAGATTTACTCGAATAAACTGTTAAGTTCATGATGTTTGAGGAATACCACTTCTTGTGGAAGGCATGGAGGGCTTCTACCACTCCGTCTTTCTTAAGAGTTTTAAGGTTCCCTGTAGGGAAGCAGTTAAGGACACTCTCTTCATTAGATTCGCTAAGCAGGATTTGGAAGAACCTCCACATATCGGATTGTAAATTCTTCTGATTTTCTGAATCGACCGCATTCATTTCTCTATCAACTGCATCTTTGCTGAACAATGGGCAAATGAAGAATTGGGCGAACATATCTAGTGCTTTTTCAAAGCCTTCAGTGGAGACTTCGAAGTGGTAATTAGTCTGCTCAAGTCCTGTGTATGCGTTATCATACCCTCCAGAGTCAGCACAGTGCTTGGAGTAAGACTCCTCTTCTGGATATTTTTCAGTTCCCATGAACAACATATGCTCAAGGAAATGGGCTAGACCTTGATACTCTTTAGGATTGAGGGCAGATCCTGCTTCGACTTGCATGCAGGCAGAACACTTGGTTGCCTCTTTATCGCTGATGACAATGACTCTCATCTCATTTTCTAGTTTGAAGAACTTGTATTCTCTATCGTCGTTGGGGGATATGTTGATACTCATTTCGACCAAATCTTTTATTAATTATTCAACTCCTTTGTCTTTATAAGGGGTTTTGGGGTTTTGGGGTTTTGGGGTTTTGGGG